AGCCTCCTGCCGTCTTCCCAACTCCACAACTAAGGACCACTCCAAAGGCCAGATTTCCAGGAGTCCCGGGAGGAGATAAACGTAAGTCATTCATCACCCCCAAAAGGGCACTTCCTGGAAATAGAAATGGATTCAGAAGGGATTTGAGCAACTCTGTGAATGACAGAACAGCCACAAATAGCCACTCAGAGAAGTCGGGCTCTACCTGACCTTTAGGACTGACGTCAAGGAAGATAGCCGTGGCCCCCGATGGTGATATCCGAGCAAGGTGTTGGCACCCAAAGACTAGGTCAGATGGACCCGCCCCAGGACAGCAGTGTCCATGTGCTTATATGGCCTGGCGCAGAGCACTCAGGACTGGGCATCGGAAGGGGAGCCGGGCTCCTGACCCTATCCATTTATAGCTACGTGACCTTGGGCAAGTCACTTACTGGCTCCAGAGCTCCTTTTCCTCGTCTGCAAGGTGGAGCTAAATAAAAATGGTCCACGATCCCTGATCCAAAACCCGTGGGTACTCCAGAAAGCCAAACTGTTGGGATTTTAGGAAGCTACTACAGACCTACAAGCATTTGCCAGTCTCGAAGGAGTCTAAGGAAGCACTCTGTAATCAAACACATTAATATTTTTGCAACGAAACATATGAATATTCAAAATAGACGGGATAAATATAGCCTCCCATCAGTTCCGATCAGGTTTTGCCACTCCATGGGTTACACAAAACCTTTTTAGCTTTCAGAGCTTCTCAGACCTCACATTCAGATAGGGGATGATGGACCTGACCAAGCCCGTGTAGGGGAGGCTGCGGGGTGGACAGCGAGAAAGTCACGAAAAGTGCCTGGCAAAGAGAGAGCTACCACTGATCAAAGGCACTGTGACTATGACTGCTGTTGGCACACTGGTTCCCAGCAGAGCTGGCTTTGACCTCAGAGGCACCTAAAGCCGGCAGAATGATAAGAGGCGACCCAGAAGAGTGAGGGCAACCGCTGAGCTCCCCAAAGTGGCCGAAACCAAGGTCAACAGCTGCTGGCCCTCTGGTCAACCGCTGAAAACGGAGCAGCTGGCCACCTGAGAGAGACCAAGGCAAAGGGCCAGGCAGAAATCTGTCATCTCAACTACTTGGTTCGGGCACCCTAGAGCCGGCCCCAAGAAGCCTCTGGGAAGGGTAGCACATGTGGGCCTGGGGACCTGGCTGAGATCATTCCTTGTGTTTCCCGAGCATCCCTTTGAGAACCAGGCAAGAGTTCCTACTGTGTGTGCACAGGGTCACGCTGTGGCCGGGCGAACGGTCTGCTGGAGGAGATCCAGAGGCCCCCGGGGCAACGAGGCCTGGCTCTGACCCTGCAGCAGAGAATTCAGAAACAGAGTCAGACGGAGACTGAGGGCCGGGAATGAGGACTGTGTTCACACCTCAGTCAACCACACCGCCTGCTGTAGTGTTAGCAACCGGTGTGTCTAACTCGGAGAAGGAGAAGGGGCCCCGGGTTCAGCTGAGCCAGTCCCTAGCTCATCCCTGGTTTATCAGATCCAGCTAAGCCGACACGCAGAGCAGCCCCGGTCTTTCAGAGACAGAGAAAGAGAGATGAACCTAGAGAAGGAGTCCGGTCCTCCAGGAGCCGGCTGTGACCCTCCCTCCCTCAGGTACTGTCCTCGGCGATGGGAGCACACTGGAGAAGAAGGTTGTGGCGCCCAGAACTTGCTCCTCATCTGTCTGGAGAGTGTGGCTGGCCTTTTGGGTCTTCTGACTTTCTGGATCCTTCAGGTAAGTGAGCCCCATTTAATTTACCCAAGGAGCCTCTGCCCTGTCTTTCCACGGGTCCCTGACTACAGGTGATGCTGCCTGGGCGTCCTTGTCGCACACCGCGGGGACCACGACCTTCCTGTTCTACTCTGTCGGAGGCTCCGGCTCCCTCTCACCAGCCTGGGGCTGAGGCGACCCAGTGGCAGGATTCAGAGGAACTCTCCCTCCGGCTTCCCTGACTCTCCCCCTCCCTCCTCTCCTCGCCCTTCTGTTCCACAAGGATCCAGGCAACAAGACCTGCTGGATACTTAATCTTCAGCAACGCTTTAGTCTGTGGCTTAAAAGTAAAATAAAAACGAAACCTGTCGCTTGTTGTTCTCTCACGTTCGTTGCTATGTTTACAGCCAACTGCCCAGCATCCGGACGCCAAAACCTCCCCCTCTGATGGTTCAGTCTTGCCCTCTTGCTTGTACCCGTGGTTGGGATGTGCAGGGAGGTACAGAGGAGAACAGGAATTAGGGAGTTTAATCTTAATCCGGGAGTTTTGAGGGAGAGGGGAAAAGCCCCCCACAAAGTGCATCTGACCGGGAGCCAGAGGGCGGCTGCAGGAACACCTTCTCCTTTCCTTGATGTCTTCAGTCCCCACAGCTTCCACCCAAGGCCCTGCCTGAGGCTCTCGTTTCTTGGGCTGCAGCAGCTGACTTTCCTCCCTCAGTCAAACGCACCCCTGCCATGTCAGCAGCCCACAACCGAGGATCCCTGCACCAGCGCCTTCCCTTCATAAGCTCACAGGGACAGGGCCATTCTCCACACTGCCTCATGGCCAGCACGGCCCCGGGGGAAGGCAGCGCTGTGGACATTACATTCTAGAATTCAGAGTGGAGACAGAGACCCGAACAAAATGGGGGACCGAAGGTTTTGTGGTCACCTGCACACTTCCTATGTGCCCCTCGCTGGCTGCTCTAGGGATTTCTGGAAGTTTGCCAATTCAGCACCATCCTCTACAGGCCATCTCCATGTGAGTTTTTTTAAGTTGGGCTCCACACCCAGCATGGAGCCCAACCCGGGGCTTGAACTCATGACCCTGAGATCAAGACCTGAGCAGAGATCAAGAGTCAGACACCTAACCCACTGAACCACCCAGGTGCCCCATCTCCATTTTAAAAAGAGTAAAAGAGGAGCACCTGGGTGGCTCAGTGGGTTAAAGCCTCTGCCTTCAGCTCAGGTCATGATCTCAGGGTCCTGGGATCGAGCCCCGCATTGGGCTCTCTGCTCAGCAGGAAGCCTGCTTCCCCCTCTTTCTCTGCCTGCCTCTCTGCCTGCTTGTGATCTCTGTCTGTCAAATAAATAAAGTCTTAAAAAAAAAAAAAAAAGAGTAAAACAAAGCTCCAAAAGGTTACATCGTGATCCCAAGCTCCCATGGAGACGTGGCTAGTTCCACGGCCCATTCCCCGGGGAACGTAACGTAGCCAGGCCTCCTCCGCCTTTGCCCAGACAGCAGGTCCCACAGAATGGGAGCCTGGACCTCCCAGGAGGGTGGTATCTCCTGTAGCCCAGCAGGACCCAAGGAGACCCAAGAATAAAATGACTTTCTGCCATACGCCACTCCTCACAGCACGTATCTAAGAGAATTCACATCCGGGGAAGATGCTAGATGTGTCTGGTCAAGGTTGGGGAGGGGGGTTTTCCCCTTTGGGAAAGTTTGAGCAAAAACAAGCGCATCCTCCGTCTATTTCCGAGCGGCACGAGCATCAGGAAGACACACTTCACTGGACGTTACTGTTCACAGGAGAAATTCGGCTACATTTAGCTCAGCGGCACTTTCCACAAAGTCAGTCTCACAGCCACCCATCAGGCAGGGCCGGAGCAGCTTCCGGCTGGGCATGGGGTGACAAGCCGACCTCCAGATGCCTCCCAGCCCCCACACCCTCTCACTTGCACCCCGGCCCCTGTTCAGGTACAGGAGCAGCGGGTAGAGGAAGAGGGTTGCTGAAGGGCGGAACCCACCCAAGATCGGCAAAACAGCAGGAGAGAGGGCGTGCGGGAAATACTATCGTGGATGACAATGAAAGTGGCCTTCCTGACCCCGCTCACCGGACCCAGGGACCAGAAGGTAGAATGATGGGTACGTCGTTACAACACATCCAAGTCAAAGCCCAAAACCCTTCAAAGCCAAACCCAGCCAAACCAGAACCCAATGGGTTCTGTCCATATTCACTCCACTTAAGAGGAGCGATTCTCAAAACCCTGTGTTGTGTAGACTCGATCCTCTCCAGAGCTACGCCACTCTGAGAGGCGGCCAAGTGCAAGGAGGCTAAGACCTGAATTTGAATCCAGCCCCGTCTCTTACCATCTATGTGACCCCGGGAAAGGGTCTTAGCATCTTCCTATGGGAAAGACAAGCACCTGCCCTGCCGCCCCAACTCAGAGGACTGTTGTAACAAAAACGTGGCCCCAGGTAAAGCACTCGGTCCTGAACCAGGCATGCCATGAGAGTTCAACGAATGGTCATCTCACAGAGAAAGAAACGGAAGCCAGAGGGGAGCCAGGACTGGCCCCGAGTCGCATTTAATTCACCATGAGCAGAGATGGGATGAGAGTAAGACAGCAGGCTGCAGAATCCCGACGCTCATACCCATCCTTCCCCCTTGAATGTAAATCAACTCCCTCCAAATGTGTTTGCAGGGGCAGAGAACGAGGCGAGGCAGGAGAGGAAGCCACGTTCCTGGTGATAAATGTCCACCAGGAATGACGCGTGGAACCCGCAGCTGCTCACATCAGCCCCTCCCGAGCTTGGAGCTGCCCAGAGCCAGCCTTGGCGGGGAGCGCTCCCCGGGGACCTGGGCACCTGTGTCCCTGAAACCCAGCAACATGGCCATGGAAAGGCGGGGGGAGACCCCCTTCCCCAATCCCACTTCCTCTTCTCCCTCCCTCCAGCGTATTAGTCACTCCAGGCAAAGGCGACCAGACCCAACAGCAGAAAAACCATTAAATGGGCACCCAAAAATGAAAAGCGAGAGAAGAGTTGTGCCCGAGGATTCCCCGATGCTTAGGGAAAGACCCCAGGCCCTCTCGCCACATCTGAAGAGTACGTCCCCCCACCCAAGCCAGGACTTGGAAAAAATGGGGGTTTCTTTACAAAGAGCAGGGAGGCCAGGGCAGCCAGGCCCCAGGCGCGGGGGTAGCTGGGTATCTGAAGGCGGGGTGTGCAAGGCAGAGGGCCGGGGCTGGGGTGCGGGGTGCAGGACCCGAGAGGGCCTACCTGTGCTGCTCCACAGCCTCGTTGTCGGGGAGCTCCACCCCGCACACGCTGCACTGCTCCCCGATGGTCCGGCTCTCGGACTTCATGCCCACAGCCAGCTCCCCCAGCTTGTTGAACAGCTCCCTCTGGATGAAGCCCTGGGGCAGCAGCCCCCCGTAGGTGCTGAAGTCCATGGACACGGCCAGGGCAGGCTGCACGTGGAGGCCCGAGGTCACTGAGGACGGCATGCTCAACACGGCGTCGGCCTTGTGGTTGGGCAACACGGAATAGAGGCCCAGGTGTTTCTCGGCTGGGGGTGCAGTGTGCTCGGGTCGGCCCGGGGGGCCCTGGCCGGCCTCGGTGGGAGGCGGCAGCTGCTCCGCGCTCTCCTCACGCCCGTAATGCAGCTCCCGGGCGCTGGTGATGACGCTGCTCCGAGTCGGGGTCCCGGGCCCCTCTTTGCCCCTTTCCTCAACTTTGTCCCCCACGGCGCCCACCATGCCAGACTCGGTGGCCCCAGGGCTGTCCTGGCCGGGCACCTCGTCCACCTGCATCATCTCCGTCTTCACCTCGGACACCCCAGCGTGCCTCCCGCCTCCAGCCAGAGTCGGCTCCTCGGGCCCCGCGGGAGGCTGGAGCGTTCCCTGGAGGAGAGACTGTCCTATGGTCATCAAGCTGTCCACCGCAGCCTTGGTGGGACTCATGGCCGAATGACCGAACGAGGTGGAGACAGAAGGGCTCTGGTCCACCATGGGTCCCGGGAGGCTCTGCGCGGCCACACTGGCATACCCGCTCTCCTCACTGGAATGCTTCGAGATGAAGATGTTCTTGAGGTACCGAGCTTTGCGGTCCTCTTCCTCCTCGGCCCCACCATCTGCCATGGTGGCCTCCGTGTCGTTGTCGTCTGAGGCCTGGATGGTCTCCAGGATCTTCAGGCACTGCTCCTCTAGGTACTCGATCTCTAAGATCTCGGCTGCGTACAGCAAGTCGTCCAGGTCCTCCGCCTTGGCTTGCAGCGTGGCCGTGTACGCGTACTCCAGAATCTGCTGGAAGGTCTTTGGCGAGAGGAAGTCCAGCGTATAGTGCTGGCTGTTGCGGTGGAAGAGGATCTCAAACATCTTGCTGGTGCAGGCCAGCACGGTCCGGTGGGCATGGAACTCCTGGCTGTCCACCATGATGACCACGTCGCACAGCGTCCCCGCCAACCGCATCTGGTTGGCCTTGCACAGGAGCCCCGTGGGGTGGCTGGGGTTCTGCAGCTGGATCATGCCCATCTTTGTCAGATCCATGGTGCTCCCCTCGGCTTAGGCATGAGGCTCTCTTTCCTTCCTGGCTCTGCGTGGCGGGGCTGGATGCGTGTCCTGGGTCAACGGAGAGGGCTACGGGGGATAAGGGAGGGGCGGGAAATGAGATGAGAGGACAGAAGACAGATGAGTGTCTCTAAAAAGAAGGCGCCCAACAGCACAGCGCCTCCATAGGCCCCCCTCCCTGTGAGACAGTCTCGGCTGTTGTGATGGGGGTGGGAGGAAGCTTCCTAGAACTCTGCACATGTGCCCTTGGGAGCCCAGGTATGAGGAGGGTAAAGAGAAGGTTCTGCTCCAGCATATACCTCATTCACTGCTCTGTGATGTCTGTTGGCTGAAGTGAAATGGGAATTACAGTGAAGCCTTGTGAGTCCTGGGCTTTCCTGAAGCCTGAGAACAGAGCCTCCCAGACACGCAACAAGGCCCATATGCGTTAGGAGGCAGAGTCAGCTTGCCCTTTAAGAGTTTCAGCCCTTCTTTTAGTCCATGAGAGCCAGGATCTCACTCTCAAGTCCCCTATGCAGTAAGCCTCATCTTCTAAACAAAGTTTTCCTACATCCTGCCTTGCTGCGGCAACCGGAGGAACACAGGCAAGCCCACCTGAGACGTGCGGCCTATAGACCTGGCCCACGGCAATCTACCAGTTAGGCTGTACCTTCTCCGGCCCTCCCACGGCCAAGCAGTACCTTCCAGCCTCTGCCCTTGCCCTCTTCTCAGGGCTTCAAGAGACTGACCCACGGACACCTTGACCCCACCCCCCAGGCACCAATGGGAACACACATAACCCTCACGCTAGTTTGGCTTACTTCCACGCAGAGGTGCCTCGGAGCTACTGCACATGCAATCGGAAATCTGGACCGCGTGTGCGTGGGCATGTGTGTGCAACGCAGCAACCAGAGAGGCACAGTTAGCACGTGTATACATGCTTCTAGGACATGCCACACCTACCTCCTGCCCACAAGTGCCCAGTGGGCAAGGAGATCTATCAGATGCGGGAGAAGAGGTCATAAAAGACCTAGAAGAGGTCACAGGAAATATGCACCCCTCTAGCCAGCAGCTCACAAGCGAAGTACATGAACTCCAAGCATGTCCCATGCTCCAAAGTCCTGTGCCCACGAGCAGCAACTCGTGCTGGACATGGCTTGGAGGCACCAGAAGTGAGACCCGACCCAGCGTCTACCAGTATGAAGAGAGAGGAGGCTGGGAGACAAAGGCTTCCCCCAAAGCGTTGTTGGGATCAGTAACAGGGCTCTGGGACTCCCTCGCCGGTTTAAAGTGTTAGGAAAACATCACCCAGACCCAGGTACCCCCGCCCCCCCGCCTTGCTGGGGCCAACGCCACAGTGAAATGAAGTGGAAGCACCGAGAAGGCTGGCTCTCCCTGGCTCTCCAAACAGGGCTTGCCTCCGCCCCCAGAAGGAGCCCTATTGGCTCCAGAGCCACAGATCTCACGAGGAAAGGGTTAACAGGAGGGCTAGTCAAGACACTTTTGCTGCCCACCCTGGGGTGGGGACTAAGGCCATCCAGAGTGGAACTGCCACTCCTCCGCGCCTTGCCACCGTGCGTGCGCTTGCCTTCAGACCCAGGGGCTTCGGAGAACGAGGAGGGGCCTTCGAGAGAATGGAAGCTGGGCCACCCGAATTCCCTCCCCAAAGCAAGCGCCCTGGGTCCTGCGGGAAATCAGGGTGCTCTCGGGCAGCCGACCCCACCCACGGCTCTGCGCCCGGGATCAGGTGGGCGCCGGCTGCAGCGCTCAGCCGTGCGGCGCGGGGGAACTCCGGCGCTCAGCCGCTGGAGCTCCCGGGGATCGATCTGGCTCCCACACGCCCCCAGTCCCCGCCACCCCCACGGAGACTTGAGAGCGACTTCGGCAAACTTGGGGAAGCAACTTTTCTCGGGGAGCCAGACGGCAGAGAGAAAAGGAGCGGATTAGGGAAGAGGGAAAGCGAAAGAGACCCGGACGAAAGGCGAGAGTCCCGGCAGGCTGGACGCCTGGGCGAGAGCGCGAGGCGGCGGACCCGCCCCGCGGCGAAGGGGAAGCACAAAAGCCCGACAGCGAGTTGTGGAAGGAACGGCGAGCAGGGAGCTGCTGGCCCTCCCTCTCCGACCCAGGGCCGTGACCCCCCGCAGCGACAGGCAGGGTGCCCGGCCAGGGCACGCTACAAGCGTCCCGGGGAGCGGGCGAGTGAATCGCCGCACAGCGCGTCGGTGCGTTCCCGTGGGTCCGCGGCGGGCGAGATGGTGCGCATTTCGAGCGCGTGCGGGAGCGTTGGAGGGGCTGTGCGAGCGAGCTGCCGGCGCGCCGGGCTGGGAAACGCGTCCCGAATGCATCAGGTGCAGAGCCGGGGCACCCACCGAGCGCGGCCCGGAGCGCACAGCGAGCTCTGGCGCCACGGCCGGTCCCGCCCAGAGACGAGGAGGGTCTGGGGCTCCGCCACGGACGCCCCTCCCCCCCAAAAAGGGTGTGTGGGGGGGTCAAGTCCAATCAGGAAAAAAAAAAAAAGCCCACCACGTTTTTCAAAGAGAAAGCAAAACCCAAGTGAATCCGAGTCTTGTTCCCCTCCGCCCCCAGATCCACTCCTCGGTTCCTCGGATTCTAGCTTCCCAGCCGGCCGGCGAATAAACACAAATAAAGCACAACCCTATCGCGCCCGCGCACCGGTCCGCATACATATGAGCACCCACCCGCTCGCCGCTCCTCCGCCGGCCCCTGGTGGTACAAAGCCTCCGGTTCCCCGACCCTCCGCTCGCGCCTCCAGCACCCCCCCCAAGACCGCTCTGCCCCCCACCTCTCACCCCGACCGTGCCCTAGAGAGGAAGGGTTGGGGAGGCAGCTGCGCCCAAGCTGACAGCCGGGGCTCCCCTTCTAGCCGACCCCCAACCGGCGGTGGCGACGGCTGCCGCAGCAGGAAGGGAACAAGCCGAATAAAATAAGGCACCAGCCCGGCGGCCGAGTGGCCGAAGGGAGCGCGCCCCTCGGACCGCTCCAGCCCCGGGGCGCCCCGGGGCGCGCCTACCGCTGAGCGGTGCGCCCCTCCCCGGCCCCTCACTCACCGCTGCCGAGCCGGGCGCTGGGGGTGGGTGTGCGTGCCTCTTGGGGGTGTGTGCCTGTGTCGGGGAGGGGTGTTGCTGGGAACTGTTGCTCTCGGTATCACGGCGGCAGCGGCGGCAGCGCCCGGCAGTTCGCAGTACCCGCTCTCATCGCCCTCAACTCCTCTCTGCTGCGAGGTTAGCAAATCACCACCGGCTGCGGCGCCTCCGCCGCGTCCCACGTCAACGCCGAGCCCCCTCCCCTGCGAGGCCCCGGCGCCTCTCCATCTTTAGTGCTGGCGGCCGAGCCAGGCTCGCTGCCCACAGCTGCCCCCCTTCCCTCCCCCCTCCCGCGCCGTCCCCGGGCTCAGCCCGCCCACCCCCATCCCCCTCCCGCACTGGCCGAGACCGCGCGCGCTCCCCGCCCCACCCCTCCCCTTCCCGCCTCCCCTCTCCTCCCCTCTCCTCCCCTCCCTTCCCCGCGCGCGGCGCTCTGGGCTTCGCCTGACATCTAGCTGTTGCTGGGGCGCCGGCGGCCGCCGCTCACCGGCCCAGCGGAGAGGGAAGGAGGAGCTCGCGGAGAGCAGTGCCAGGGACTCGGAACCCTCCGTGCCGGCAGTGGAGGTGAGGGGCGAGGAGCAGCCCCCGCCTTCAACCCCAGGCTTTTTATTTCCTTTAGACACGTGTTTTCTTCTTCCCTGCTGCCCCAGGCGCGGAGTTTCGTCCCCGGCAACGGTGTTTGCCTCGATTCTGTGTGTGTCATCCCGCCTTTCACTTTTCTCCTGGCTCGGGGCTGCATCCCCTGTACCCCGACATCGGTGGCAGAAGGTTCCTTTCTTAGCCCAAGCCCAGGCCTTCTATGCCTATGGCATCCGGATTGCGAGAAGTCTCCGGGCGCGCAGTTCGCAGGCCCTGGGGAGCCTGGTGCCAGAGGGTCCGCGGGGACCAGTCGTGGAAGGGAGAGCCCTCCCCCACTTTAGCTGTGGGCATCCCGGGAAGCCGAGGTCGAGGCCCGAGAGGAACTTCATCCCTCTCAGTCCTGCTCATCCCCTGGGCTTTGCCCCCCCCACCCCCGCCTCCCGCCAGGGAACCTGGTTGGAAACAGTTCCTGAGAACAGCGTCCTGCTCAGGCAAAGCTTTCAAGGGGCGAGTGAAAGCTTGAAAAAGCTCCAGAGCCCCCTCGCCCCCCGCAAGAGCCTCCTCCTCTCAGAGGGCTGCTCCACTTTAGAGAGTGGAGCTGAGGTCACTAACCTCGGGGATACAGCCACCAGAAGAAACCTACCGTTCCTCTGGCGGTGGAGAGTCCCCTCCTGCCCCCTTTTCCTGGAGCTTAGCGGTGGTAGGGGCCAGAGGTGGGAAGCTCTCTGGTGAGCATCGGCCTAATGTCCGGGATGCTGGGGGTGAAGGTGGTGGTGGAGAGCGCCCTCCCTGGGTCTCCAGGCTGTCAGCCCTGGAGGTCATGCAGTCAGCATCTCCGGGCTTCAGTCAGGGAGACCTGAGTCCCCACATTCTGTCCCTAACATGCTGCTGGGTCCAAGGTTTGCACAGGACTCACATACAATCACATACCAATGCTTGTCTCCGGTACTGCCCCAGACCTAGAGTGAGGCCCCAAGAACTGTAGGGTCATGGAAGGTGGCAGACACCAACTAGAGACAAAAATCCGCTTCTGGACCACTGAAGGCCGGAGTGCAAAGTGCTCAGAATCCCAAGAACGGCTAAGGGGGAACCGTCCCAAGGACAGGAAGTTCCATCCCTGGAAGCATGCTCCAGTCTCCTAGCAGGGATAAGGGCTCAGCCCTGCCCGAGTCAGAGGAGAGGAGAGAGCAGAGAAACCCACTGGGATGTGAAGGGAGGGAGCTAGTTACCCTTAGACAGTCCTGAATACGGCGACACCTAACCAATCCCTGGAGAAGCCCGGTCCCTAGGTATTAACAATAAAAAGCAATCCCGGTTACGGACTATTTTTCTAGCTAAGGTCTACACTATCTGCAAGACGAAAGGCATTTAAAGGAAGTTAAGAAACTGGTCTGCAAGGAGAGCACGAGGAGAGGGATGTAAAAACAGAAGAAAGACCCTCCTAGTGCCTCACCAGGGAAAGAGAAGAAATGACCATTGAACTTGTTGAGCCTCTGCCCAGAGATGTTGCCTGCGGAAGATCGCTGCCTTGCCATCCACATCCACCTACCAGCCCTTCCTAAGCGCAGTAGCAAGAGAGGCACACAATTAACCCTTGATCCTAATCTCCTATTAATCCTCAAATCAGAGAAAGGGGAGAAGCCTTGGAAACAATGGGAGAGTGAGAACAATCCTTCCACCACCCTGAACTCCCCCCACCCATCCCAAGCCATATTCACTGGATGTGAAAATCTCCCTTGCTTCATAAACTCTGCCCATTAAAAAAGCCCAGCTCTTGTTAGTAAGTGTTAAAGAGAGATTAATGCCTGAATTTAAGAGGTGGAGAAGGTAACAAAAAGGAGGAAGGCAGGAGAGGCTGTGGGCTGAAAGCCAGCATTGGGCTCCAAGAATTTCCACTTAGCACTGAAGGCTGGCTGCAGGGCGGTTTGATAAGGTTTATTGGGCCCAGATAAAGCAGCAGCAGCTCCCTCACCAAAACTGGCACCATTTATAGCCAGAGTTGTGTCCTTGGGCCCCCAGAAAGCTGATGAGAGTCTCCAGTTCAGAGATTTCATATGGCGGCACCGAAAGACAGTGGGGCGGAAAATCACAGGAGAAAACTCTCTCTCTCTCTCTCTGATGTTCATGTATTTGTAGTGAAGTGTTTTTTTTTTTTTTTTTTTTTTTTTACTTGAAGGGTATGGTAAGGGAAGCTGGGACATCAGTTCACACAGGTCTAAAAATAGGAGAGACCTCGGTCTTACCAGACCATGCTAGAGACAGGGGAATAGATGATTGACCTTTGAATAGAATTCCACATTAAATCTTCCTATTCCCTCGTCTCCTCCTTCTTATTCACACACCTTCCATGGGTAGCAGCCTTTCAGAGCGCAGTTTCTGGAAGAGGGGCTTTGTTCGGTCTAAGGGATCTTACAGGGAAGAAACAGCAGGAATAAGAACTCATTCTGAGCACAGACCATGCATCTTAACACATTACCTATCCTGGGGTATTTAATCCTTGTTACAACCCTATTCAGGCAGGTGCTAGTATTGCCCCCATTTCTCAGATGGGAAAACTGAGGTTAAGCATCTTACCCAAGACTGCAGAGCTGAGGCTTTAAATCAGACCATTACAGAGCTCATGATCTTCACTTCTAGATGGTACGGCCTCTAGCAAGACAGAACAAGGAAAACGGGGTTTTGATTATCTTTCTCCTCTTCCTCCCCTGAGGCAGAGAGCTACCAGTAAGCCTGGCAAGCTGAGGACCAAGCCATTCCCCACTGAGTGGTGCCACCAGGTACACAGGCTTAGGTCACCTTCCCTCCTTCCTCAAAATCACAGGCAAAAGTTGAGGGAGTTTTGAATTACGATACAACTTCACCCAAACGGATGCCCAGGAAGCAGGCTGCGGTGGTGTTTTGAGCATTCTGTATTCAGATTGAGTGTTAATGAAATGTTGCAACTCATTTTGTTCCAACTCCTCAGCTGGAAAATAGTTGTAAAATGTAAAGGTAGACTTTCCTATCATGATAAATAAATCAAGGACTCCTACCTCCGGGGGGAGAAGCAGCTACTTTGCATACTAAAACCTTGAGATGAGTCTGGAATAAAGCCTTTTCACAGAGGGACGCAGGCAGTGAAACCCTTGAATGGAAAAAGTCCTCAGCAACTGAGAACTCCAACTTGCCCCTGGAAGACATACCAGGTTGTCACAGGCACCCTCAGCTCTCTGTCCCCCTGGGGACTCGAGGGGAGATACCGCAGACCTACTCTGGCCTTTCCTGGAGGCAAAGGACCTTATAAGGCTTCAAGGTCATAACTGCAGATATTTACTAGGTGGATGGAAATGACGTCAAAAACTAACCAAAGTCAAATTTCGCCTCCCTGACTAGGTGGTTGGCTTTCTCTGGTTCGTCTTTTTTTTTTTCCCTTAATTATTTTAATTCTTTCATGTCACTTTTTTACATGCCCCCTCCAAAACCCAGAGGGGGGAAGTAATCAGGTGACATGTGGATTCCGGTTAGAAGGAGCACAGAAAACCAAATGAGAAGATGACCTCTGTGATGAGTGACCGCCATCTGTTTTCCTGGTGGAGCCCAGGCTAGTGGTATTTATTTACAAACCTGGGTTTTGCCAGGTGCTGGGCATACCCGTCCTGTCTGGTGAGCAGAGAGTGACTTCTCGAAGGGGGGGAAAAGAGGGGCTTTTTTTTTCTTTTAGCTCCTGAGGCCTTGGGTCACTGTGACCCCAAGATCTTCATGACTGAGGAAGAGAAAGCTTTTCCTCCTCTCTCTCTTCCCCAGAATATTGCAAATGGTGTTGGAACCTTAATGTTGTCAACTCAGATAGCAAATTTGAGTTGTTATTAGCGCAAAGATGTCCTGAGGGGGTAGGCAGTGTGGATGAAATCTGCAATGGATGTTATGGGGAAGTGTGTTTATAATTATAATGGGATTTAATGTACACTGGGACCAGATGATGGCAACTATTTTAAAAAGAGATGTCTAATAAGAGAGGTCCCTTAATGACAGGCAGCAGGGCTCAGGTTATTATGGCAGAAGCATAGTGTTTCACTGGGTGTCACCAACCATGTGTTAGTTTTATGGGGTTCCTGACAAAGCTTTGGGATGTGACAATCCAGCCCCTGTTATCCTATCAGCTACTGGACATGAACATTAATGTTGCTGCCTTCGAAAGGGGCACCTGCACTTAGGAGAAAGGCATTCTCTCTCTCTCTCTCTCTCTCTCTCTCTCATACACAGAAGCACAAACACACAGGCCCCAGGCCAACACTGAGTAGTTTGGTCTTTCTGAAAATCTGCTTTGCTCTGAGAAAGACGGCCTC